TCACTGTGGTCATGTGTACTGTGGTCATGATCACTATGGTCATGTGTACTGTGGTCATGATCACTGTGGTCATGATCACTATGGTCATGTGTACTGTGGTCATGATCACTGTGGTCATGATCACTATGGTCATGTGTACTGTGGTCATGATCACTATGGTCATGATCACTATGGTCATGATCACTATGGTCATGATCAATAGGTTGAGAAGTAAAGTCCTTAGGGTTTGACTGCACCTGTACCTGCTCATGTTTGTGCTGTTTGTCATTGGCCGGATCATGGTTGTTTTCATGATCATGATCATGTGTGTCCTGCACATGTCCATCAGAATGTTTATGGTCACTATCCTTTAGCTTGCTGTGATTATGATTATGTCCTGCATCATGTCTATGATTGTGGCCATGATCATGTTTATGGTCATGCCCTGTAGGTGCACCAGCAGCTGGACTTCCAGCTGTGGGCCGCTGACTGCACCCTGTGGGAGCCTGTTCCGTGTGCAGAGGCTCGGAGCCGGGCATGCGGTGTGGATGACCGTGCCCGTGATCGTGATCATGGTCTTCGTTGGATGAATGTGAGTGAAGACCCTCTTGCATATCCACCAAGTCGAGGTGGGCTACATGGTCATGGCCCAGATCCTCATGATCCACACCTACCACCTTCACTTCACCCAAACCCAAGCTAAAGAGCAGACTCTGAAATCCCTGGAAATCTAGCCGGTCTTTCTGGCCGTAGCGGCTGAACAGCTTCTGGATGTAGAAGCGCTGCTCCTCCTCTAGAGAGTCCCCTTTGGGACTCTTGGACTCTGGCGACACGGTGGCTCCGCTCATATATGGAGCCTCAGAAATCTGCAGGTCGCTGTGGACGTGGTCATGGCCGACATGGTGATGTTCATTATGCTGATGGCTGTGACCTTCTCCGTGGCAGTGGTTGCACTGATGGAAGAGGAAGGTGAGCACACACAGGAAACAGAACTTGGTGTGCACGTGGACTCGCATTGTCCCCTCACTTCTGGTCCCCTGTGAAAACAGTACAGAGACGGCCAACAATTATCTTACCTATTACCCAAGTGATAATTAAAAGGAAAGAAACTTGATGGGGTGACAATGACTGGGAATTCTCTGATCAAGTGTAGAGAGACACCAATATCACAATATAAAAGTGGTGTTAGATTGCCAATGAAAAAAAAGTACATTCAGCATCAGTCAAGTAAACACCTGTTTTTTCTTCTATTGGTTGTGGAATTTCGGCAGTTTTGTTGCAAAAAGAGAAGACAGAGACGCAGCATGAGCTGAAGCTGGATCGCATTGGAAATCTGTCCAAGCAACAAAATATCAGGGTGCAAACGGGGGCTATTGAAGTGAGAGCACACGGTTTAGAGTGAAAGCATTATAAAAGCTGAACATGAAATCAATAAGCCCTGCTCTGAAAGACGAAGAAAAGTAGAGAAGATAGGAAAAACGCTTTACGTTCCATTGTTGTGCATCAAATCAGAAAAGTAACCCAAAACTCATTTGGTTCATTTTTTTCTTTGCTTGAAATCTTTTGTTTGGACGATAACTAAATAACAATGATTAAATCATCTTTATGAGATTTTACACGAAAGTCCTTGATTGGTTTAAGAACCCCACCTACCTCACACTTTACCATCAGAGAGCTCGTAACTAGGAAATGGAACTGTCCATTTAAATGCCTGATTAAACTCTGCTTTTTTAATTACATTTGTAAACCCAGTTATTTTTCAGTTGATGTATTGAAGGAAAGTTGTGTTTTTGTGAAGCATTTTTAATTAAAACTATT